CTGCTGATAAATGTTCGTGCTGCACATTTTTAAAATAGAACAAAGATAAAGTATTATAACTTTAGATGTGAAACACAGACATGTAAGAAATTTTTAACATTTAACAACAACAAAAAATACAAAAAACATAATCTTCTCTTCAAAAATGTTGCAAAAAAATTCAGTTAATATTACTGCACAGAAAACCTTGAGGGTGTAAAATGCCTAAAAATGTGTCAACATGTTCTGGTAACGCTTTCTTTTACAGTCCCCTAATTATTAGGTACTTACACGGTAATTACATAGTAAGTTAAAGTGTATAGTTTTTTCTAAGTACTTAATCCTTAAGCCATGTAACTCAGGTTCAAGTCTAGTTTTAAATTTTATTAATCATTTTCATTTAAGACTGCATTACTCAATAATTACATTTCATTTCATTTATACACTTTAATTACACAGTAATACACTTTAACTTACCGTGTAGATACCATGTAAGTACTTAGAAATTAGGGGACTGTAAAAGGAAACGTTACCCATGTTCTTTTTTTTAAGTTAGGAAAATAAAAAGATGTTTCTGAATGCATATTGGACTTATGGTTTATCTTCGCTACACACTTGTAATTCTAGTTTTATTTGAAACAATAGAAGAAAATGTTGAGTATTATTGCAGAATACAACACTGATGATGATTTATCGTCTGATAAGAAGGAACAATGACGCCGTTCAAGAGCAAAGAGAAGTGAGGAAGTGGGAAGCGACTGAGTTAAGTTGACAGAGTGAGAAATCAGGAGGAGAATGAAGAGAGCTTGAGGGACGGTTTGAATGAGAAAGACGGAGTGGAAAAACAGAACGAGTGCAAAGGGAGGAGAGATGAAAAAACGCAAGTCTGACTCTGACAGTGAAGCACTGAGCTCTGCTGATGGGCCTTAATGAAGTACGGCAGCTGCAGAGGAGGAGCTCGTTCTGACAGGCAGAGTCCTGTCTGACGGATGCTGGGGGAGACACACACCAACACAGCAGACTGCAGAAGACAGATGAAATTTAAAGCACTACAAAACTGCAATTGGAACAGCCTTCCATGCGAGGAGGAGCAGCGGACTCACTGTCAGGATTCTCACTTCCTGTTCTCCAGTAAAAAAAATTGGTGGTGTTATTTTCTGGGCTGAAGCTGCTTGCTAAATCATTGTTTTCTCCCCTAATGTTGCCTTGAGGATTTGAAAACAAATAGATGTTTAGGTTATATTTAATTGCGTAGACAGTTCCAGCTTTTATGAAGAGTCTTGGACCAGGAATGAAGAAATATGTCCATCAATGATTGAAAATAAAATAAGAGTTCTGATGCATTTTTATGCCTGGATGGAGAATTTGATGCTGTGAAGTCCTCTGCTTCCCCCTTCAGTTTGAAAAACCTTATGGGTAAGTCCTTTTAAAATCTGAGTCTTTATATTTTGACACTGTTGGGGAAAATACAAAAATGGTAAATTTACCCAAAATAATTGTAGAAATAGCTGAAAACTTGTTCACAAAACAAATCTGAATATTACATTTTCAGTTTTAATTTCTTTAACTTTTATTGTTCTTGCGGATTGCTACGTGATTTTCAGTTAGAGGTATTGGATTAAAAAAAATTTTTTTTCTTCTTCTAAACACAATGTTTCTTTCAAATTAAGAAAAGCAAAAACCAAAACTAAGAAACTCATCAATATCACACAGTTTCTCAGATAATCAGATTCAAACAATTGGAGGAGAGGAGGAAAAAAGCGTCTGCACCCTCCAAGAGCCCGAAGAATATATACATGAGTATATATATACTTATAAATACTTAGTTTTCTTTTAGGCAACAGTGGCAGATGAATTAAGTGCCTGTTCCATAACCAGGGGGTTGCAGGTCTGTCTGAGCAGTCACTGTGTCCTTGGGCAAGATACTTAACCCACCTTGACTGCTGGTGGTGGTTGGAGGGGCTGATGGGGCCAGTGTTCTGCAGCCTCACCTCTATCAGTGTGCCCCAAAGCAGCTGTGGCTACATTGTAGCTCAAAACCACCAGTGTGGGAATGTGTGTGTGTGTGTGTGTGTGGGTGTGTGTGAATGACTTATTGTGTTCCAAAGGAGTTTGAAAGAAGGCAACTGGAGTTTTTTGATTGCTCGCGGAGATTTTTGTGTTCAAGTAAGACCTTACCAACAGATGGCCATTAGGGTCGAAAATCCTTGGGAGTGCAACCTCCAGCAAAATTACAAGAACATCAGATTCCCTTTCATCACTGGCAATGAGTGAGGAGGTAAATGTGTAAAAGAACGTTTATTAATGGTGAAAGTTTTGTAACCATTTGTTACAAATCAGTAAATGCATTCTGTCCTCACAGGCTTCCACAGAAGGAAACATGGCATCCAATATGGCGTCGCCCAGAGACTTAGACCCACTCCCATGTATTTTAGACCAGAATTTTATGGTTATAAGTTATAAAACCATCAATATTTTTCAACAACTGGGTATCTTTTAATTCATTTACAACAACATTTCAATGGACATTTCCAGAGATTAATGGTTAAAACTACACACTGTCACTTTAAATAGACACTGACTCCTCTGAAACCAGTGTAAACTTTCATTAAAATAAATTAAATGTTTACGGTCCAAAAGACAAATTAAAATTTCTAGTTATTTGGTTCAAGGCAGGCATTTTGACTGCCAGAGATTTTCTTGCTGGTTTCCCTGGGCAAGAGAAAAATAGAGGCCAAGACTGGGAAATTTTAGAGTCAAAGAGTGTAGTGTACCCAAAAATCAAGTATTCACATCAAAAATGACCAGAAATTAACTTTTTAATTTGCAGACACAAACGCCCCATCTGTCTGGCCTCCAAACAAGGAAGCACTGCACAAGACCTTGTTACCAGATAAAGGAGAGAATAATTCTCAGCTGCCTTATCATGACTGGAACAAAAGTCACGTGGGAGACGAGACTTTCTGCACTCACTCTAAATAAAGTTAATCTTCCTTGAATCATAAATGACTTTTTAAAATTTGATAATTGCATAAGTGTTCTATAATGAAATGTGCTGAATGACGAAGACGTTTAAATTCCAGAGTGTTTGAATAATGTATGCATTAATCAGTGATGTGTTAAAATGAATATTTTTCCTGCAATGATAAATTTCAGACCTTAAGCTACACCAGGTCAGTATTTATTGGTTTAACAAGTGAATTTATCAGTATATTCATACATCATAAGATTAATATTGAGGTTTTAACATTCACTTCACATTAATGTGTAAAAACATTTGAACTTCACACTGAGAGTTAACCTCTCTGAATATCTGAGGGAAAGCGTGATATGAGGTATTTTGGTAATACCCTTTAAACGTGTGACATTATGATTTGTCTAAGTTTATAAACAAAAGTTAATAAAAGCTAGAACACTTCCTGATCTAGTCAGTCTTCGCCGTTCACTTGATTAGGCCATTCGGGTGAACAAGCATTTTGAGACCATCCATTCTTTTGACCCCAAGGTCAAAGCCTCTCTGCAACGCTTGCGAGTGATAGCCAACTCAACGGCTTTTTTAAGCTCCACCCAACACGCCTCACACAAAATTTCTAACCTGCACATCCTGGTTGCACCTGATAACTGGACTAGAAATCTGAATTCAAAGGGAACTGTGCCTCTTTGGGTTCCTGTGGTCTCGACTTCCAGTGAACCTCACCACTCGGGCCGCCTTCGTCCAGAATGCTGACAGGCAACCGTCACACAAAGGGTGCGTAGACTTTGTATGACTGCGTCGGATGGTTTTATAAATCAATTTTAACTTATCAAACCATACCATTTTTTATCGCTGAAAGTTTCATTCTAGTTTTTTATTATATTTTATTCTATTTATAATCTTATTATTCATGTTATATGTAGCACATTAGTACCAAAGCAAGTTCCTAGTTTGTGAATTGTTTGTTCACTGACAATGGCAATAAACCTATTCTGATTCTGATACAGCCCAATTGATTTTACCACTTTGATACATAATAAAGCATCTAGCTTCCTCTCCATTATTTCATTCAGACTCTGTCATGTACACGTCATTTAGTTTATAAAATGGAATTAAAATATTTTTTATAAACTATATTCTGGACTGTCTGAATTAATGTGTGTTCCCTGAATAAGTCCAAGAAACTAAAGTCTTCTGATTAAACATTCAAAGACCAATCAGATTGATATTTCATATTGATATGGAACATCACATCTTATTGATCATTTAATAAATAAGTAGTCAATCCTTAATGCTACAAGAGCATCTCCAGCATTTAATCTGTCCATCTCTTCCTCACATTTTTTTTATAAGTTAAACATACAAGAAGAGAGACAATTGCACTTTGGCTGCCAGTCAACTTCAGGGTTCATTTCAAGATCCTGGTTCTGGTCTATAGGGCCCTACATGGACAAGCACCATCTTAAATTGGTGATCTTCTTAGTCCCTACACCCCCAGCAGGTCCCTGAGGTCCAGTGATCAAAGCCTACTGGTTGTGCAGCACCAGGCTAAAGACCAAAGGTGACAGATCATTTGCTGCTGTGGCCCCCAGACTCTGGAACTCTCTCCCCCTGAGCCTGAGATCAGTGGACTCAGTGGTCTCCTTCAAAAAGCAGCTGAAGACTCACTTGTTCAAGCTGGCTTTTGTATGACCTTCTTCACCACTCTCTCTTTATTCTGCTCTCCCCACCTTCCTCAGGATCCACTGATTTCCCTAACCCATATATATATATATATATATATATATATATATATATATATATATATATATAGTACTGTGTGTATGTATGTATGGATGGATATATTTATATACATACATACACACAGTACTATATATCTATATATATATATGTAGATATATGAGATATATATATGTAGATAGAGAGGTCTAACTGGTACTGCAGGTGGCAGCAAATCACCACGTTCTATTCAACTGTTCCCTCATTTACATAAAAATAAGAAAGCAACGTATTTTAAACTGAAATACATCATGGCTGGACACAGATATGATTAAATAAAACTGTTTATTTACCATGAGGTCATAAAAATAAAATTAAACAATACAAAAATTCTTTAAAATCAAACTGTACAAATCAGGGCTCCAGCTTCATTTTCTCCTCCACATAGAAAAATATAAAAGGCACTGTGCATTAGTCTGCTGCATGTACAAAACATCCAACCCAGGAGAGAAGACACTGACTTCTGTCACCGATCACATCAATAACTGCTTCCACAAAGAATAAAAAAATCCTGCAAGTGAAAACTAAAAACAGCAATAATACAAATGGATAATTAGTTTGGTGTAAAACACCTCAGAATACATTTTTGAAGATTTCTTCATCAAAACATGTTTTTTTTTTAGCATTAGTTAGGGTCACAAGCTAAAATGAATCCCAAATTAAGACTTCAGACGGAATTAGCAACATCCTCGAGTTCATTTTGATTAGGAGTGTGCCTGACAGTTTTAGTACACACAAAAAAAAATCACTAAAAACCACATTTTGTCTTTTATAGTTTATAAAACCCTTAAGTGACTCATAAGTTAGACCGAACTGAAGCAGACACCTCATAACACTGAAACAGGAAAATAAAAGTGATTAAATGGGAAAAAAAAACCTGAAATAAAACAAACATCTCTCGTGTAAAGTGGTTTTACGAGACACATTCTCCAAAAGTCAGGCTAAACATTCTACACATCATTTATTTTTGTACCCTTCTAGCACTCGTGCAAAGTGATTTTTCAAAGCTTCCAGCAGCCACGTGGTTATATAAAGACACCTCTTCTTCACTTTACAATCTCTTTGGCTTCCAGTTTTATGTCTAAATACGTTTAAAGTTTAAGGCCCGTCGACGTTTCTGCCGCCGTCACAGAAAACCGTGCTCGTCCAGGCCTTTTGTGGTAACCGGATTCCACTTTGCAACAGTTTTAGGAGCTGACTGACCTGCAACACACACATTTTACAGACGTGAGGGTGATGCTCATTGTATCTGGTGTGGTCTTGTTGACTTGGCCTTTACCTACCTTGTTCTGTTTTGCTTCGTGAAGGTTCAAAGTACTGATTGGTCACGTCAAAACCCCTTCCTTCCACGTCGCTTTCCCCCGATGAGGTGTGATCCTCCCCTTTTCGGGGCCTCCTGTGGTACTTGGCCCGGTAACTGTCCGTCATGCAGCCGTCCACTGAGAAGAAAGTGGTGGGCAGAACCTTCTCCGTGAACAACGAGGAGTCTTTACCATCACCCGGCCTGGGTTTCGGACTCGGTAATCTGTCCTCACCTTCGCTGGCAGACAGATCGTTCCTGTCCTGGTCTGAGGAGCCAGATTTGGAGCTGGCATCCGATGAAAGTCTGTGTTCGGTGGGCGTTTCGATCCACCTTTGCACGATGCTGTTTGAGGGAATGGGCAGACCGTTCTTGGGCTTCGTGCGGGGGCTCAGCCGGACCAGCAGTTTTGGCGGTACGGCACGGATGCCAGACAAGTCAGAACCAAAGGGTTTCGGAGGTAAAGGAGGTGGATAGCTGTGTGATGGAAAGTCTACAGTACTAGTATCTTCTTGCTCAGACAGGGGTCCGGTGAGGTCATCTGAGCTGTTCCATTCAGAACTGCTGGTTTTTGCTAAGAAGGGAACCACGGGGCTCACCGGGCTGCTGTCCTCTTGTTCACTGTCTGGGTCTGTGTTCTTCTCCACAAGTCCAGGTGTGTATCTGAAGGCTCTTCTTCTGTTAAAGGGTGAAAAACACAAACATGAATGCATGGCCCAGTAAACCAGTACTGTGCCGTAGTAGGACTGTTTCGTTATTTTAAATCAAGCAAGTAAAATGTGTCTGTGTTTGGTGTTGGATGAGAGTTTTTGTGAGGAAAACATTCAGGCAGCCCAGAAAACATTAAATTCTCACCATGAGATTTCATTCTTGCATTCAAGTGATAGCCTAAACTCCAGGGGCCTCATTTATCAACCATACTTACACACATATCTGTACGTATTTCGTGCGTAGGCACGAATTTATGCATAGTGTGGTATTTTACCAATTTGTATTTGTGTGTAGGAATGTTCCTAAATGTAAGAAAATCTGAACCCATGCGTACGGACAGCGTCCAGGTAGGAGGAACCGCAGCTCTGAATGTCTCAGTAATCCACAAATTATATTTATTTACCCAATAAATAATTATTTAGGTGGTGAAAACAGCGGTGTCTCATTATTTGAGCAAAAACCTATAAAAGACACCCACGCCCGACAGGAATCTGAAGTTCTATCATGGCTGATCTGTGTGATTTGAGGATTTAACAGATCTCTGGAGGGAACGCGTTCTCTGTGAGCGCTCTGATCTCAAAGGAAATCCTTCTCCTTTACTGTGGATTTTGACCCTTTGTGGCATGAGAGACAAACCGCAAGAATGTGATACCACTTCATATTTTATTTTACAACTACGAGAACCCTCCAGAACCTCCTCTGCTCCACCATCATACACACCGCGTTGCCAAAGTAACCAGACTGAATGACAGCGCAAGGATGCTGCACTCTCAGACAACATTTCTAAATAAAACAGAACAACTCCTTAAATGTAAAACGTAGATGACAACGTTACTCTACGATTTATCAGATTCAATCTTTTATTTATTCCCGACGGGAACCTCTCCTCTGTCCTGACCGCGTTTGTAGCCTCTACAACTTTTAGCGCTTCGGCAGCCAGTGTTTCAATCTCGCTGCCAATAGTTGTTTGTTTTGAGGAAGAAAAAAAGAACGGGGAATCCCCTCGCATTCTAAGGAAGTAGCAAGACCAAATATGGTTAATTGAGGGCGTTTCTGTATGTAAATGAGGGTGAACGGACACAAGCACATGGGTATGCATAGGTGGGATTTATCATCAGACGATTGCGTAGGAACGTGCGTACGAGAGGCCGCCGCATGTTTCATAACTACAAATTTCATTTGTAGGAAGGAATATAGGAGCGTTCGTACGAACGTTTTGATAAATGAGGCCCCAGGTCCCATGACTGTAATGTGTTTTGTCCCATGTACGGGATGTTAGAATGCTAAAGGGTTAATGATATGTCACTTCCTGTCATGTTTATAAAGATTTTTGTACATTGTTGTCATTGTGCTGAAAATTGATTTGAAGAAAATTGTAAATCAAAATGCAGCAAAAATTTCATCCATAACATTTCAACAAAATATCTACGTAAACCAAGCCTACGCAATCGTCACTCGGTTGGGTCTGCACCTCTGATGGTCACTTTCTGATGTTGAATTTTGGCTGATGAAAATTTTACGTTGAATTTCTGATGTTGAATTTTTGGTGGTGTATTAAAAGTAAAAAAAAATCTAATACATATTTTCACAGAATAAACATTCAATGTCTAAAAAAAAATCATATTCTGGCGAGGCTGTATTTCTTCCATAAAACTGCAACTGATTCTTTCCCAAAAGTGGTTCTGCCCTATGATTTAGTGTAAGTAATTTTCTTACCTTTGCAAGTACTCAGCAGACAGGGATTTGGAGTCCTGCAGATCTGGGGACTCCCTTCCTTGTCCACCTGAGCCCAAAATAAAATAGAATTAAATCCTTTACTAAAACCTGGTAAAGTGTGACAGAGGGTCAAAGTAGGGCTAATTATCACACATTTTTATTCCAATGCCTCTCCAGCATGTTACCTAACTGGGGTCATGCTGAAGGACAGGAAGTACCAGAGCAACTAGTCTGGCAGAGTGCCCTCAGGCCCCCTGTGTACCACTATGTCTGATCCAGCCACAGAACACAACCCCTCTGAGGAGGTCTGGGTTCATATCTGGGCTGCGTTGGCTTACAGCTAAATCTACAGTATGTCAAAGTGATTTAACAACTCTGGTTTATAAAGTGGCTAAAAGACAGTACAGAGGACATAATGGAAGCATTATGGTTTGTCCTCATCTAATGGGATTTATCTGACTTATGATTCACTTTACAGGTCAGAGAATACATTTAGAAACCAGGGGGGCGGCTGGTGTGATTTACAAGAACAGGGAGGGGCAACAGCTGACTAACAGGACAAATAAGACTGAGTGGCTGATGACCATCTGTGACGTGTCAGCATACAGTTTTTCTTTTTTGCTTTTTCTCTCCCCCTCTCTCTCCGTCTCTCGCTCTCTCCCAGAGCATTAGCAGCTAAATCCTTTGTGCTGGCATGCAATTACACCGGGGTCAGACTGCAGACTTTAGATCCCCTTCCACAACACCATTGCATTTTTAAGCCACTAAGTCCGCGTGGGCATTTACAATCTGATACTGCTGATCTGCAGCATTGGCAGGCAACTGTGACAATAGGATGTTTTTATATCTAAACACAAAAGTGGGCTGTAGTTTGCCATGTGGAAAATCCTCAGGTGGACACCATCAGGTGAAAATAACTGCCTGAAGAATAAGACAATGGAGGTGACTGACTAAGAAACTTTTAAGCCCCATGAGGTGTCGAAGCTGCAGCTGTTACACACCTGCTTGGACTATCAAAACCTGGATGGCTGGGAGCTTTCTACAGCTGAATGAAGATAAGACTGAGATCCTCATCTGTGCCCCAGACAAGCTGGTTCCCAAAGTCAGAGACTCTCTTGGTCAGCTTGCTTCTCACACCAAACGTTCCGTCAGGAATCTTGGCGTGACCTTTGACCCAGCTCTCACCCTGGATTCTCATGTCAGTTCTCTTGTTCGCTCTTCCTTCTTCCATCTCAGGAACATTGCTAAGCTGAGTCCCATTCTGTCCCGCTCTGAACTTGAGACAGTTATCCACACCTTCATCTCCTCACGCTTAGACTACTGTAACTCTCTTTTCACATGTCTGAGCAGAACCTCCCTGAACCGTCTACAGGTGGTTCAGAATGCCTGTGCTCGGCTTCTGACCAAGTCCTCCAAATACACCCACATCACCCCGCTTCTCCTCCAGCTTCACTGGCTGCCAGTCAACTTCAGGGTCCATTTCAAGATCCTGGTTCTGGTCTATAGGGCCTTACACGGACAAGCACCATCTTACATTGGTGATCTTCTTAGTCCCTACACCCCCAGCAGGTCCCTGAGGTCCAGTGATCAAAGCCTACTGGTTGTGCAGCACCAGGCTAAAGACCAAAGGTGACAGATCATTTGCTGCTGTGGCCCCCAGACTCTGGAACTCTCTCCCCCTGAGCCTGAGATCAGTGGACTCAGTGGTCTCCTTTAAAAAGCAGCTGAAGACACTTTAAGCTGGCTTTTGTATGACCTTCTTCACCACTCTCTCTTTATTCTGCTCCCCCGACCTATTCCACCTTCCTCAGGATCCACTGATTTCCCTCTTTCCTATTCACTCTCTCTTTCTTAACATTTTTTCTTTTAAATCACAATTGCTTATTCTTGCTCATTTTAAATATATTTTTAAACATTTTCTAAGTGCTTTTTTATATTTTTTACTATTTTTTATATTTTTTTGTTTTTGTGAAGCGCCTCATGATTTTTATCTTGAGAGGCGCTAAAGAAATGATATTTTCTTCTTCTTTTTCTAATGTGTGTTGTGATGTTTTTTAAAAAGTCCATTTCATGCTATTTTAAACCTTTGAGAGCAAACACAGGCACAGTGCATGATGAAATATTACCAATGGCACTACTGAGATGTCATTTATCTTAAATGCAAGTAATTTTTGGCAGCCTAAATTTATAACCGGAAATAAAATGGTTTGTTTCAATGAAGCTCTGCCTACGCTTGTTCTAACAAAATGTACCTACAACCGCGTCTTAGGCCAGCCTGCTGTATGGGTAAAAGTGACTAACTTTCATCTTGTTTTGCCATATGCTGGCGTGGGTTCGACTCCCGGTGGTGTCAGCAGCTGAAGCAGATGCATTTTTTTTAATTTATTTTAGATTTAATATTTTTTGCTAAAAATTTTGTGTCTCTAAAAATCTTTTAATATGGTCATTTTTAAGAAGCCTTTCAGTTGATTTACTCTGCTCACCTCACACTGGCTAAAAAAAAAACAAAAAAATGTGTCCTTACTTGTGCTGAAGACAAAAGTTAGATCCTGCACAAAACTACATGCCAGTCTGGCACTCTAACCACCAGACTACAGAGTCTGTAAAGCAAGAAGCAGGATAAGATACATATCCTGTACGGCTTCAGGTTTCAGAACAGAGACTAGTTTCCAGGAGAAGAGCAAGGCCTGAAGACGCAATTTGTTTCTATTGATGCTTTACAGGATTTTCTAAATAAAACTCAAAATTTGCAGCTGAAACTGGGAAATGCATAAATGCTGCCAAAAACATGTTTGTTTTTTTCATGAGGAAATAACAATACCACATGGTAAAAAGCTCCCAAAAGTGGATTTTCCATGAAATTGCCCTTTCAATCTTAATTTTCTATAGATACTTTAGAAAAAGATGACTCACAAAATGTAAAAACAAGGTTGTATATGTTCACGACAAAAACGAATGTATATTCTGTCTTGTAATTTTGTATACATATTTTAATAAAAACTATGAAACGGAGAAAAAGATGACTCAATCATGACCGGAACGATGGGTAATTAACCCCAGAAATTTAGAGTTTTGGGGATATTTGGCGAAAAATGTATTAATTTGGAAAGATATTAAAAAAGATTTGGAGAGAGAAATTTAGAGAGAAAGACTTTCAGGGATATTTTCTGTATGCTTTGGCAAGAAATTTTGCTGCTACACCTGTTTGTTCCACAATTAGGGGACGCCCAGGCTTGAAAGGTTAATGTGGCATCACCCAGAGACTCAAACCTGCTTTTGAGGACAATTTTGAGACTTTTGGTAAGAAATTTAAAGGCTTTCGGGGAGAAATTTAGAGATTTCGAGGAAGATTTTGGAGACTTTCAGGAACAAATTTGGAGTGTTTTGGTAGTGTAACGTCAGAAAATGGCCTGATTTTGAGACCCACAGGTCAAGTCCACAGCCAGGTCATTTTGCCCTGGCTACGACTCCAACCTACAATAGTTTCCCTCACAGGAGACTGAAAGCCTGACGCCCTGAAAGAGATAATAAAATCAAACAATAACATTCTCGCCTACTAAGGTCCCCATTACAGAGGAACTCATTAAATGAACTCCTCGATTCACTGAAGAAAGAAAAAAGAAGATTTTAAAATTAAAGATAATCATTAAAGAAACGTTTCTTTATTGCTACTTATAATAATTATAAAACAATGAAATGTTTCGTTAATCTGTGCTTAATGATATATGTTTAGCATGTTTACTTGATGAGGTCATCACCATCTGCACTCATACAAAAACAAAGTAAAGTTAAGTGAACGCTTGACACAGTTACCTTTTGCCAAGTTCAGAGACTCCGGATCAAAGAGGGTGTGTCTCTGAAATTCTTCGTAATATTCTTCAAACTTGTCAACTTCTGGTTGGTTATTCAATCATAATATCGTTTTATTAAAACTAGAGAACTCTGAGTTTTCTCGAGTTCGAGAGGAAGCTTCAGACCGGCCATCTGAGCAAAACCTCTTTAACCAGCAAAGATTTTGACACGCCGTCAAAACCTTTTTAACCTTTTTTGCACCTGCGAAGCTGATGCAACAAGATAGTTTCCTGCAGAACAAAGCTGATATTGTTACAACTCCTTAAGAGTTATTCCTGAGACGCAAACTAGTTCCAACTGTCGTTACCTGGAAGATGACCCTGGACTGACCTAGTCATACGAGGAGTTATGGGCCATTCCTATCTGTACCTGGTCGGCCCTGCCCGGATAGCTCCAGTCGGCCCCAGCCTGGCCTGGTTGATTCCAAACATCCTTGCTTAGGTATGCAAGGAATGCAGTCAGAGACATTTTCAGCTTCTAGGTAATCAGCATGATAATGAATGATGATGAACTGAGCATGCCTGAAGCTTGGTTTATGCTTGACACATTTACTTTCCGCTTGGTGATGCGGCTCGCGGATGGAACGCGCTTCACAACTCGCAGCGTTTATGGTTCATGTAGCTCGTCTCTGCGGTGAGCCAATATTCTCCCAAACTGAACGGGGCAGCGTGGAGCTCTACGGCATGCATCCAACACTAAACCGTAGTAGAAGTAGAAACTGTTGTTCACAACATGGCATTCCAGCATTTTTTAACAGCGTCCTCGTCTTTTCCGACAGTGCGAGCTATTTCTCTTCAAGAATGATTAACAACGTGTTGATCACAATGATCTTTGAGAGCTGAATCATACAAATGTCTGTATTTACGAACCTCTGCCATACTAGTTCTTGCCAGTCTGCCATGTTTTTTCCACGTCTGACCGTCCACATGGTTAGAAAATGTCCTAGGTGCGCGGTGCGGAAAGTTTGGGCCGTGCGGAGGCGCGTGGTTGTTAAAATGGCGCAATTTTGCCGCGCGGAGCTGTGCGAACCTCGCGGACGCGTCAAGCATAAACCAAGCTTTAAGCCCATGTGGGCTAATTCTACCCACCAATCAGTGGCTTGCTCTAATGGAAGGTGTGAATTTGCTGACTGATAAGCCGGTTTGTCAGTCAGCAGTGGGTGTGTTGGCCCTGGTCAGCCTGAAGCAGACCACCTCAGAAAGATGGCTGAAAAACAGTCTTGTTGCACCCTGAAAAAAGGCAGGCCACCAAGATATGTAAGCAAGCTATGCTATCCGGGCCGAGCCGACCAGGTACAGATGGGAATGGCTTATAAGTCTACAGACTCCGGTACCGGGGTCTCCGACCCCCCCTGACATCTCGGATCCAAAGGGCGTCTCCGCTTGGGTACGTAGAACACTGAGATTGCGTCTGAATGTGGTTTTGATAAGTTTAATGACTTCCAGTGACAATTTTAGATACTTCCTGTAACAAAAAGAGATACTGCCTAGCAGACCAAGAGGGTGGTGATGTCAGTCCCTTTTGTTGGGTGTGGATCTTGCACATATTATCGGTTTATATTGGTATTTATAAAGGGCTCGACACACGGGAGGCAACACCACTTCCCCATTCATTTTAAAATATTTAACCTGTAAAAAATAGTAGCGTTTTACCAGTCACAATAATTTTAATAGTAATTTCTGTAGATCATTTTGAGATCCTTGGTTTGGTGATTCAAGACAGACAGGTGGGTCCTGACCTGTTCTGGGAAATAATGCTTTAAAGATATGTTAAAGCTGCGTTTTAAAAAAGGTGCAGGAGCCAGAAAGAACATCATTCACTGTTTTCAATTAGCTCTGCCTGTTTCTCCAAACTCTCTGCACTTTTGTTAAATCTAAATTTACCTCACAATAAAAATAAAGTGGGGAAGAATGTAGAATTGAACTGCACTGACTATAAAACAACATTTTATTTGAATCGTAGGTTCTGACATGACATTTTCTGCCTGGCTGGGCTCAGCTGGGGTGCTTCACAAGCTCACTTATCGCCAGCTCTCACAATCAGGATTAATTCTATCTACTCTTCCTCCTTAAAGGAATGTGTATTCTAACAGATATTTCTTTTTTTCTGAGTTTTTAATGCAGGCTGAACATGAAAATAGTCTCCTACACCTTTAATCCAGTCTAAGACAACATGCATCTTCACAAGTAAAGCTAATTGTTCATTATTTTTCTACTTAACAGCACAAGCCGCTATTTGTCCCTCATTGATTTAAAAACGTGCTGAACGAAGATGTTTTTACTGGAGGCAACCAATTAAAAGCTCCTGAAGCACGATTTTTCTGCATGAGGCAACAAGACAAACATAATTCAGGGAGTGAAGGAGTTAAACCCAGCCAGCAAGGAGCCACACACTTCCACACTGTATCCCTCCAATCAGGCTGTGACCTTAACACCGCTGATGGGACAATAAATCAAGGAATGCTGCTTGTTGCTATCTTAACCCTGCAGGTCCTAATAACACAAGTTGGTCTACTGGAGAGATAAGTTATCTTCAATGTCAGAACCGAGGCCTTTGGCTCTAATATTAAAAATCTGTTTTACTCAAACCCTTTTTTACTCGGTTTCATTCTAAAAACCAAAAATGATAGGGATATATGGAAACACTGATACAATAAAATATCACATAATTACAAGCAAACATCAACTGTATTTCTCTTGTGTAGTGCAAATCAAACTGACTGCTAGGGGGCAGCAGTTTTCGCCGCCTACGTTCTGATGAAACAACTATTCCTCGTGGATAACACTGGATGTGTCTTCATCTCTAGCTGGAGTTTTCCAGTTATATTTAGCCTCAAAGGTGTGGTTGACTGAAAAAAAAAACACTTTTCAACTGTTGTTTTCTGATTATATTTAGTCACCCTGAGTTTTTAATGCAGGCTGAACATGAAAATAGTCTCCTACACCTATCTCCTGCATTAGATTCTGATTGAAAACAGATGGTGAAACTCTAGGATTGAAAACGTCTGACAGATCTACGTCACACTGTGAATTTGCATTCATGGACTCACAACGGGGAAGGCTGTTGTTGGTTTAGCGTCCAGCAAACAGCAGAGAATGTCTCGGCTAGTTTAAACTAACCAATAGCATTAGCAGCTTCACAACATGTAGTTGTGTTATTTGTGGGGGTTAAATCATCCATGTTGCAAGTCAGTGGTAAGAGTCGTATTGCTGTTACCCAACCCAGGGCAAGGTGACCAAATATCAGGATATAAGACTCCAAAACCCGTTGTCTAAACCTCAGCTGTGATGTCGCAGACTTGGCCTGCTGAGACGGGTTTGTGGGCTTCTTTTGTGCCCTGGGTTCTGCCTGAAAGGCATTCATTCCTTCTAGGGACCACTGCAAATGTATTGATTAAACAAGTAATCCACACCTTTTAAAAATGTAAAGATTGTCTAACTTTTAGTACTGTAATACTCTGTATTGTGCTATGTTTTGTATCATCTTGCCTGTATTGTGATACAAATCATATCACCAGATTCTTGTAAATGCCCACTCCTACTATAAAACCATAAAATGTGCAGTTGGTTTAATTTTCTGCAAAAATTTGTAGCATCAGTAAGAGAGATAGACATATTGTGAAGATGAAGTAAAAGAAAGAGCCAAGTGATACTTTGCTTTTTTCTGTTGAAAATATAAAACAAATAAATAAAAATTACATACCACTCGATAATGCATCAGTCCTCAAATCATCACTTCCCCTCTGAAGAAAGTGATCCCTAAAACACAAAATACATATATTTGTTTTAAAAATAACCTAAATGCATTGAAGGAATTAGATATAATCTGAGAAAAACATTTTGAAATTAACCCTCAACATTTCAGTCTAAATTTTTATTTATGTTGCATAAATCATTAGCACTGGTGTGAGCTGGAGCTGGGTGATAAGGCAAAAATGCACATCACGGTTATTGTATAAATTGAACCGTTATATATTTGGTGGGATTTTTTCCCCCATTTTTTATAAAACTTCAGGTGTTACCATTGAAACACTGAGCCAATCTGAACCAAATGCTACATCTATTAGAAGGATAAGCATCAGAGTAATGAAAACATTTTTAAGAATAACAATTTCTAATGGTCATCATGACACTTTGAAGGTTTAAAAAATGTACAGAAAAAAATAAATAAAACAATAGTGTCGTCTGTTCTTTGAAGCCACTGCTTTTTTCTGGTGCACAAGGTCTAAGCAGCCAGAGAAACAAACGCTGCTCCTCCAGATCGAGAGGAGTCATTTGAGGTGGTTTGGGCTTCTGGTCAGGATGCCTCCTGGACGCCTCCCCGGGGAGGTGTTTCGGGCATGCCCTGCCGGCAGGAGGCCGCCGGGTCAACCCAGGACACGTTGGAGAGGTTACATCTCCAGTCTGGTCCGGGAACGCCTTGGGGTCCTGCCAGAGGAGCTGGTGGAGGTGGCCGGGGAGAGGACGGTCTGGAGCTCCTTAGTTGGGATGCTGCCCCCGCGACCCGGACCCGGATAACCGGAGGAAGACGACGACAAAGACAAGCGTTGTGGTATCACAACAGAAATAAGTGCTTAATGCATAGGCCTAGTGTGAGCATTACTAAAGATTAGCAGAAAGCTAATATCTGAAAATAATAAAATATAACCTCCTGGGACGTGGCCTTTTGCTGTTCAGTCTTTATTTCTGTTTAATTTAAACTTAATAAAATTACTATTAGAAATTTTCATTGAGATTTAGGTTTAATATAAACTTTAATATGAACTAAAGATTATATTTAATTTAGTAATCTTTAGTTATTTAATTTGGAAAATTATTTGAACAGTTTGTTAACTTTGAACAACATAAAAGTTTATTTTAAGTTTTATGAGATTTCTATAATCCCCAAATCCCACAAGCAAAAACATCCAGTTTTCTGTTGTTTAGATAATACACTTAGCATCTCCTAAAAAGTCTTTTGGATGTTGCAGTAAAATAATTATAGTTTAAAATTCTATCATTTTTAAAATAACTGCCAGTCACAAACTCATTTCATTTTCCATTTAAAGACTGAACACCTTAAGAGGCACTTTTTGTGATATACTGTCAATGGACAGGCCCTAGACGAAGTCTTTGTGGTTTGGGGAGTCAGCTCTCAGCTCTTGTCTCTGCTGAGTACAGGAGGCGTCAGCTAGTTGGGATCATTATCTCCAAATGAGACCTGAAGAATAAAGCCAGCAACTGACAGCCCAGCGTAATAAGATTCGAGTATCTGCCTTGTGTGCATTTATGCTAAATGGGTCTCGTTGATATTATTGGAAATGTTTCGTTTGTGTTGTTGAATTATTTAAAAACTGAGCTTCTGAGGCTCAGGTCATTAAATGAACATGATATTTCTGACACTGCAATTGAACCATGTCAGTTATTTCTGAAATTAAGTCAGCTGACAGGTTATTTTACCTGACTGGATGCAGCTCAGATGTGGGTCGGAGGTCTTTGGAAGAGAGGCCTTCTACCACTGGAGAGTCCAGGTTTGCCGAGCTGTTGCTCAGTCTGTCGCTACTTTCATATCCAGATTCAGTTCTCTGAATCTTCCAGTTTTCGCTGCGGACTTTAAGGGTGGCCGGGTTCTTTGATCTTTCCTTACCATCGGAGTCCAGCGAGCTCCGACTGCCCCCGGTGTCCTGCCTCTGCTCATCCTCGTAGATTGTCATCAAGCTCTTGGGTTTGTGTTCTTCCCGTGTCCCCCATATTAAATGTTGTTCTCTTGATGGGGACTGACTGTTGGGTCTCCCCCGAGGGCTGTGGTGCCTCCTTTCTTCTCTAGATGAACCTCCCTCATCGATGGTGCTCAGAATGCTGTCGACGTTCAGCACCTCCCGCGTGGGCTTCCACGGCCGGTTGCCTCTGGTCCCTCCGTTCTGCCCTCGGGAATCTTGGCTGCTGTCTGTGTCATATCCGTTGGAATGGGTGTTGGGTTTCCAGCCGTGATTGTTAGTTCTTACCAAGGGCATGGTGGGCAGGACCTGGACCTTTGGGTAGGAGCGAGTCAGTTCTTGGGAGGACCGGCTGCCGGGTGTCGGTATTCGCTCTGTCTTGATGGGGCCTTTTCCCTGGCTGCTGTACAGCCTGCTCTCCAGGTGTTGCTTGAACCCATTCTCTGGAGGGGAAACAGATCGGGAGAGGGTCCTGTCCTGAGCTGGATCTAAGAAAGAGAGATTTAGAAGTATTTTATAGTCAATTTAAAGCCCTTTTTAGATTCACAACTTAATCAGATGACTCCAGACTAAAGCTGGAACTGGTTAAAAAGCATTTCCATTTACAACTGGTGCCAAAAGGAAGGTGGTGTTAAATAACCTTGCCCCAGTTGAAAACGGACCCAAGCTGACATCTCGACAGCATGACAAAAAGGCTGAGCCAAAGAACACAGCAGGCTGTGCAGAAAGAGAGGGAAGGGCATGATAACAACAGCATTGGTGGCATTTATGTCTGCGGACAACAGGAAGGTGTAAATTACAGCCACCGTGAGTCAGCGTCCTACCGTAGAGGGAAGCCAGCTCATGTAGAAATATCACATCATAAACAAGGTGGTGGTGGTGGAGGTGGTGGTAGGGGATCTGTATGACTACATGCATGTATGATTGTACTATTTTGCATGGAAATAATTGGGAAAAACCTCAATGTAAAGTATGACAGCAGTATGTATGTTTATTAAAGATGCCAAGTGGCAGAGACAGCTGGTTCATTCCAATGTGTGTTTGAGACTACAAAAACTAAACCTAACTGTTGGTGGTTGTAAATAAGCCCACAAGTGACTGAGTCCCCATTACAGCTGAGGAAAATAATCAAATAATCGATGCATCGAGATGCGGACATAAACAATTCTGTATAGTAGAAGAGTACGCCATAATCGATTATAGCGGAATGCAGTTTTGTTTTTTTTGACGGCGGCACCAGCGCAGCATCCAGATCTGTCAGAGTGAGTGTCCTCCACATTTACCAAGTGGTTCCGCCTTAATGTGGTACTGCAGGGCTGAGTGCTTGAGTTGTAATCTGAGACCGAACCGGAACTGAATCAGCCCGACTGGTTATGTTATTTCCGTGGGGCTCGAAACTGAGGTAGTTTTAGAAAAAAGTTTGAATTTACCATGAATGAAATTTGAAATTACACTAAAATTTTCAAATAACTGTGAAATAAAGTCATATATATATTAAATTATATTTCACACAGTAAATATTTTTGTGATTTTAAATTTAAAAGTTCAGTCACCTCCTGGGTGGACTCTCACTTCCCATTCGTCCTGTTTTAAACATGCACCTAAAGGAGGCATCGCCTGGCAAACCGAGAGCGACGTTGGGGCAGTGGTTGACAGCACATCTATCTGTGCACGGATTAAAATAATTACATTACCAGTAAAATATTTGGACACACTAGGGATGTGTATTGGTGAAATTAAAACAATTCGATACGTATCACAATACAGGGGAGATGATACAATATATTGCGATACATTTAGTCAGACGCTATGAGCGATTTTTTTTAGATTGAATTTATTGTAGGACAATTCAATAAACAGTTTGAACTGATACTTAACATGTTTAACATGAGGTATCTGAATCATAATAGAGGAATTTACATTTCAATGGTGGAAACAAATCCCATTGCACACTGCTGCCAACTAGCTGTCAGTGTTTGAATTGCACCAAAAGAAAAGAAAATACACACGTTTGCATGTAAATTCTTCCAAAAATTAGATACACGGCTTTTGAATATCGATATATTGATTATATATTATGATTGTTATATTTTATTCTGATGGTTTTAAGTTTTTATTGTGTTGTGTTCAGCACCTTGGGCGTCTGCATTGGTCACAGAAGGGGCTTTATAAATAAATGAAATGATATAATATAGCAGGAAAAAATATCACAATAGATTGCCATATTGATATTTTCTTACATCCCATAGGACACACCGTCTCATTTTTTGGGTTTTCTTTATTTTTGTGACTATAGTGTAGATTCTAATGGAAAGCATGGAACATATCAACAAACACAAACAGAATTATGCAGTAAAGTAAAAAGTGTGAAATAACTCAAAACATATTTTATATATTTTTTATTATAGCCACCCTTTTGCTTTGATTCTTGATTACCACACTCATAACTTTCTCTTCACAATGGTTTTCCAACAGTCTTGAAGGACTTCCAAGTAAAGCTGAGAACTGGTTGGCTCTTTTGTCTCCACTCCACATTCACCTCACCCTAAACCATCTGGGTTTAGGGTGAGGTGAACGTGGAGACTTGGTCACCTGGCACAGCACTCAATTGCCCTACTTCTTGGCCCTTACACAACCTGGAGATAAGTTTGAAGTCAGTGTCCCGAAGATAAATGATTTATGCCGTGGCATTGTTTCGAGAAGCTTCTACAATGTCACAAGATTTATTTCCATTCAGTATTGCATTTTTTTTTTACCAAGATCTTGCATTGATGGTAGTCTAACCGCTGCACAAAGCCTTCTCCAAATGGTTCAAATTAGATTAAAAAAATTAATTGCAAAGCCTCTGAAAAATTAAGATTAATTTTTTACTGAAGTCCCACCACTAATATTTTTAAAGGTGTGGGACATTTGTTTAAACAATATATTTGCGTTAGTCTCTAGTAGGAATGAATGCCTTCAAAGTCGTTCTTGAGTGAAAAAAAAGCACCAGTACGCCATTTTCAGGAGCTAAAAGAGGCCACATCGGAGCTGAGCTTCAGGCGGAGGGATCTGGAGTCATATTTCCTGATATTTTCAACATCTAGCCTCAGACTGGATAACAACAATGTGACTCTACAAGTGACTGTCCTGCAACGTGGATGTTTTATCTCCACAAATATCTCCTGTGGCAGCAGGGAAACACCGTTGTTTAAAAGGGCAACATGGAAAACACGCAGGACAGTGGACCCCGAGAACCAGTGTTAGGAGACTATTTTCGTGTTCAGCCTGCATATTAAATTCAGTGATTGATTATAACCAGAATAAAGATATAAAATGTTTTTTTTTCAGTGTTCAACACCTTTAAAGACTTACTAGTTTTACTAAAAAGGTCATTAACTCTGGATCAGTCCAGGTACATCCTCAAATGCTTGTGCCCGCTCTGACTGACATCTAAGTGAGTGGATGTCTAACTTCGTTTGGTGTCTAATGCTGAGTGGTGCTCAGTTCAAATTGCATGTGGCTCCACGGGAAGGGGGACAGGCTTAGCAAAAAATAAAACCTGTGTATTACGCTTCCCTAACTTAACAACACTGTTTATTTAGACAAGAAGTATTTATTTAATCTAAAATTCTTTTTAATTTTAGTCATGATTTAGTCATCCAATTAGTTTGTTAAATTTTAGTCTTACTTTAGTCGACTTAAATATTTGTAATTTTCTTCTGATGTAAAGGAAATGTTAACTACGCCTACTTGAAACTAACAAAATGTGTAAAATTTACATTTCACACTTTGGATCAATAAAACTATATTTATAATTCCTATAACATTGATTATTGGAAAATACCAAAATGAACACTGACAGTTTGAAGTTGTGCCTCTCATATTAATAAAATAAACAAATCTGTATAATGTACAGTAATATTTGTAAACAAGACAAGAAATGACATCATACCATCAAAAAATTAAAATATATAACATAAAAGTGGAGGTAAACTAAAGGTAAGAATGGTATCCAGGTGTATTTATTAAGAGTTTTTATTAGACTGATTTATCAAAGTAGGACACTTGAACATTTCTCCTCACAAAAACAACACCACTAACACTTTTTAAACCAGGGTTAACCCCGAATGTGTACTCAAGCAAATACTTTTTCCTCCCAGACGTGGATGTTTTCTCCTTTTAGACATGACTTTTACCAGCATAAATAACAATCTATGATGTCTTGTTACTGCTAGCTTTTTCAAACTGCGGCTGGCTCCAGACTCTGATTGGTTCTTTTCACGTCTAGTCCTGCCTGTTCCATTAGCTGATTGGCTCTTTTTTCCAATGTCCCGTCTTTTCCGTTTTTTTGATTGGATTTTCGTTGTCATCTTTTATTCACCAACGAAAATGTTGGTCAATTTTTGTCATAATTTAGTCTTTATTAAAGGGGCATTATGGAAGTTTGACAGCCAAAACATGTATAGAAATAATAATTTCTTCTTCATACATTCTCCTGCAATGCCCTGGTCCTGTAGAATGAGCCCTGGCATTTTTACTGTGATTGCCTGTTTTTCTGTAAAATCACAGAAAAAGAGAGATGCTCGGGTCGAGCAGGCTGCTTCATGCGCGTTCACACTCAGGCATAGCCCGTAGCATTTGCTATCAGTAGCTTTAGTCTTTGTCGCTGTTCCTAACGCCTAGTGACAAAGCTAGCTACATTTCTGAGGACCCTTAGCTACTTTCTTCTAGATATTTCCTGAAAATTAGCAACAAAATAGCCATTTTCGCTCCGAACCGTTCTTTGAACGTTGTTTTAGCTGTCATCAAGGATATAAATGTTACAGATACAAAAGATGTCACTGGTGCTTTAGCTCACCTAGTAAGATGTCGGACTCTTGTGCAGAAGACCCGGGTTCGATTCTGGATGTGAACATAGTTTATTTAGAGTTTCTTTTTTACATTAATGTTCTTTTTTTTTTTTTACAGTAAGACGCCCAAATTTTTATTTGAGACTCGCCGAACGGCATTGAATTCACAGATAAAAAAAAAAGATGTGGGTTCAACTTTCATTTTGGAACAATTTTTCAAGCAAGGGAAGGGCATGATCTGAGCATGCAGGAGGACTGACCCATCATAAACCTTTGTCGGCTGTGCTGAAGAGAAAGGTACAGAATCAAATTATTTAATTAATTAGCTGCGCGTTCTCCTGTCCTCTGTCCTCCAGGCCACACACACACACACACACACACACACACAAACACACACACACACACACACACACACACACACACACACACACACACACACACACAGACACACACACACACACACACAAGGGACTGTCTCAGCTGTTATTTTCGTTAAGGACTGTGCACGTACAGCATGCGCGCCTCGTGCACGAGCCTACAATTGAAGCCACCGCTATGCTTTTGGCCTGAGGGGGCAATCGCGGGCATAAAAATTCAAAACTCCGTAAAGTCCCTTTAACGTATATGTTTTCATTTTGTTTTAGTCTGCAAAAATTTATTTGTCATGACAAAAAAATCAACAAAGTTAAAATTGCTTAATGAGACGAATATGCATCCAGGGGAAAACCAGGATATTTGCCAAATGGTGCTGTAAACTGTGTACCAACATTACTTCAACTCATGGTCACAACACCATGAAGAAGGCAAGAAATTCAATCATTAAACCCTGACAAGCACACCTATGAAGTGAAACCCATTTCAGGTGGACGCACGAGTCTCATCGAGAGCCTGTCAACAAAGCAAAAGGTGGCTACTCTGAGGAACTGAAGTTATTTCCCACTTTTGTGTTTACTCCATACAGCTCAGTAGTCATGAAAATATAGAAAACCATTAACCGAGAAGGTGTGTCTGAACTTTTGACCAACAGTATAAATTGTGAGGAAAACTGGATAAGTTTGATTAAGGGCAATCCTTAATCTAAATCTTAAAGAATTTGTCTCCCGTTGACACAGCGTGATCACATTTTGTTCAATTTATTTCTTTAACAGTCACACAGATGCCAGAGAGGGTGGATCAGGGATGGATCTAACAGACGTCACAGCTTAATCTCCTTTCTGACACATCCAGCTCCTAAACTGAACATTACATAAGGGGCTGAGCAAGTGTAAGGCAAAATTTGTGTATCCCTACGCCTGAAATTTCTGTATCTGCAGGCTCCTGTAGGCACACATTCAGCTGCGATAGCTCACCTCTGTGGCGCATGTCCTGCCTTCGCTGACCGCTCCGATCAACGTCTCTTCTGGGTGGATGCACCCCTCGTAGTTCTGCTCGGTGGGCAACTTCTCTGGGAATTTCTCTGATGCGACTCTTTGGATCAATGTAGCCAGTTTTCACTAAAAAAAAAAAGGAGTTTTGGACACGATTTTTAAATTGGTGTCTTTCTGTGTCTACTTTTCTTATCATTGCAGATCTCAACATGACCCGATTATAAATTCTGAATTTTCAAGAGAGCTGAAAGCAACAGCTGACATTTCCTTTTTTTCCCTCCCAACGACACGCAAAAAAATAAAAAAATAAAACCAAGAAAGTAGTTCAAGGACACTCGTATTTACAGATGACAGATAAAATGACAGAATGTACGATATCAAAAGGAGGAGTAATTTAGGCGTTAAAACAGTTTTTAACAGGGAGCCCTGTGTGACCTCTGCCCTCAGCAGGGTCCCTGACCTCGTCTGTTTCCATGGATGGGTTTAACTTCACAACAAACACATTTAATTATCACTTCGTCTGGTTCTGATCCCAGATCTCTGCTTGCTGTGAGTCTCTGAGGGGGAAAATATTCATAAATAAAATATGTTTTTCTAAGGACTTGAAAGTACATCAACGGCGCAGGGTGACTAATCTGTTTTGAAGGTTGAAACCAATCTTATTTCCTGTTTGTCTGTTAAAAAGCCAATTTCCAATCAAATCTTCTACCAAGCATTTTAGCTTCATGTTAATATTTCTTACCTTGTCCCCGCCCACTGTTGGTTGGACCGCTGCCCCGGCTGAGGGTTAAACCCTTTGGTTTGAGCAGGTCCTGCCCCAGCATAGCCTTCAGGTTCTCTTTGGTTAGCTCCAGCTTCTTCTGTACTGAAACATTAGACTCCGAAACTGTTGAAGACAAATAGATCAAATCAAATTCTCAACCTTCTTTACGTTGTTCAGCCAATTTCTAACTTGCAGGAAAGAATATAAACTAGCGAGTTCTCTTTGCTTCCAGGAGGATGGTCTTGTTTCGCTGGCCGTCCTGTCGGCACTGATGGGGACACTGAGCAGCTGATTGAAGCTGGGGAACGGCCAGCATCGGAGCTGGAGGAGGATCTTTGCAGGGGATAAAAAACCTCCCCAACCACGCAAATCCAGGGAAGTATAATCCCAGCAGCTGATATGTTGAGCTGTTGTCAACATATTATCATAACTGCACTGTAACCAATGTAACCAAGATGAGGCTTTGGGTCTTTCTGTGCACACAGGTCAGTTAAATCTATAGTATTAATCATCATCATCATCATCCTTTATACTGCCTTACAGGCATGAGGCATGCCACCAACATGCTACACATAACAAATTAAAACGGAGAAAATCAACAAAGAGAATTAAAACCAACTAGTAAAATTAGTATAAAATCATATAAAAGATTAGCAACAGCTAACCCACAGTTAAAAGCCAGACCATAAAAGTGGGTCTTCAGCCATGTTTTAAAAACTGCTACTGATGAGGAAAGCCTAACAGATCAGGGAAATGCATTCCACAGCTTCTGTCCCGCTACGGAGAACGCCCTATCCCCTCTTGTTCTCAGCCGAGCTCTGGGAGTAGCAACTGGGACACAGGACTGCAACAACTCCACCAAACAGGCTGGAGCCAACCCATTCAGAGCCTTAAATACCAATAAAGAAGTTTAAAACTAATTCCAGAATCAACAGGTAACCAATGAAGGACAAAAGGTCAGATTTCTACATGTGTAAACAAGTAAAATGCTGTTGAACACCATGTGAAAGCAATTTGCAATTTGAAAATATATGATATGTTTGCTATCACAATAACGATTTCTGTTGTAACAAACCCACATTCTCCACATTTCTCTTTTCACATTTGGTCCATCTGAATGAAAAATCACAATGTTTCATGTTAAGATACTGACTCGATATTTAAAACAGTGTATTACTTTTATATTGAGAATTTACATGCAAACATTTACAGTTTCTTTTGTGTGGTGCAATTCAAACTCCAACTGCTAGATGGCAGCAGTTTTCACTGACCTAGCTCAGTGGCCTAGTGGTACAGTGTCTGCCCTGGGACTGGGAGATCAACGTTCAAAACTGATTGGGTCATACCAAAGACCTTAACAATGAGACCCAATGCCTCCATGCTTGACACTCAGCTTTTTAAAGGGTTGAATTGGGGGTTAAACCACCAAACTGTTCCCGAGCACAGCCACTGCTGCAGCTCACCGCTCCCCATGGGGGATGGGTCAAATGTAGAGATGAATTTCACCAGTGTGTGATGATGACTATAGGACTTTATAATGCTGGATGCATCTCGGAAGTGTCCAGTCAACGTTTACCAAATAAATTCAGTCTTAATAATTACAAATATTAACCAGCTTTTCATATACATACATACATTCATGGTATCGTATTGTGATATATATCGCATTGTCTTTCTTGTATCGTGATCTATCTCATATCCTCTTCACTGTATTGTGATATGCATCGTATTGTCTCTTTTGTAGTGTGATATATATTGTATCCTCATCCCTGTATTATGATAGACATTGTGACATATACCGTGTTGTGCTATATCGTAATGATTCAAGAGTTTCAATACAATCTTGCTCAGTAGTTTATGAAACATTTTGATAACAAACCCACCCTTCACATTTTTAGTTGTGTGCATAAAAAGAAAATTATATTATATCTGTCCAACAAAACAAGATGAACACAACTTGAGGAATTTGTAATTTGACAAAAAAAAAAGGACACTAGTTAAACACCTCAGTTTACTCAATATTGATTTTTTTAACTCATTTTTAACATGTTAAACTCTGGATGTTGGTAAATTAATCAGAATAAACAGAATTATCATACCTTGTACATCTCCATTGATGGAGGTCTTGGGGTGTATCTGGCTGCTGTTCTGCTTTGAGGCATCTTCTGTGATGATGGCACTTCCATCAGGGTTGGAGTAAAACAGGAGGAGAGGTTGGAAATGACCTTTAATACATTTGGTGACCACATCTTTCCAACGGGAACCAATCTACAGCCATAGAAACAGAGGGAGGAGGGCAGGGAGAAAAAAGGTCAAAGATGTGCGATTAGAGGGACGAATCCTGAGTGATAACAGTAACAACCCACGCCGCTTCTGAGAGAAAAATCTCTATAATTTACTTCCTTTGGATCAGTCGATTTAAAGGGTTTATAAAGTGGGATTTTCCTGTTGAATCCTCTTGTGTTTCAATGAACCATACATCACAGCGAGGGCAAACAGATTGGACACACGATTAAAAAACAAAAAACACAGGGCTTTAATCAAGTGACCAAATTGTCACTTAAAAGAAATAATTTAAATAGCATTACAATGTTTAACTCACATGAACTACAAGGTGCAAGGTGCTTTTCTGGCCAAAGAAGGCACCATTAAAGCAGCATGACAACAGATGCTTGTGTGGTCCTTAATTAAGCAAATGATAGAGGAAAAGCAGGAATGAGGGGGTAGGAAGGACAGGAGGTAAAAGAGCTAAAGATAAACAAACACAAATGAGATAAGGAGAAAGGAAAATACTGTAATGACAAAAAGAATGGCTTAATGTGGACTCTTCCCAATTAAAATACATATGAATGAAAACAATCTGTTGTTTTTCTACAGTTTTTTCTGTTTATCACTTGCATGTTTTTTTTATATTATTAACACTTATTTTTTACATTTCCTTCTTTTAAGTAAATAATATGTTAGCAAAATAATTTTTTAGGCAGAGCCAGAATGCTGCCGTCATACAGTGGTCTGTGTTTGGAGACCCGCAGAAATGCTCTTCAGTTTTGATCCAGGTTCGGGACTTGGCACGAGCCAAGTGCTGCAGCTGCTCCAGCTCGCTCAGAGGGTTTGCACACGCAGCACAAGCGGGTGATGGATTGACGCAGAGCCAGCCAGCCACCTCAGGAGAAATGTGTGAGGCCCTTTCCCCACATACATGTCATAAAAGTGTATTGAAGTAAAACAAGAGGGCATGATTGATGTATCGGCTAGTATAGTTAGGTAACAACAAGCGGTGTTGGAAACCAAGAATACCCACTTATGTTTCAGCTGGAAAGTATATTAATAGTAGTCTACAAATCTAGACAAACCTTAGAAGTAGATAAATGTTTTGCTCTGCAGGTTGGTCTAACTCAAGGGGACTTTTTGGTCTTAACTTTGTGAAGCCAACACAGAAGTGGCAAAAATTGCAGATCCACCCTCATCCCCTAGGGTCTGGCACCAAAAGTGAGCAAATCCTCATTGACTCCTACAGTATGTTAAAAAAGCCAATTTCACAGCAGAAATAAATGTGTTTACAGCCTGGTACAAAAAAAAACAACCTATTTTAGGTTTAATAGATCTAATTCACATCCATGACAACTCTGAGTGGGGCGAATGTTTTTGTAACTTTTCTGTTTAGGTGGAATTTAATGCTTATAATGCTGAATAATTAATGAGCATCAGAGCCACATGACTTCAGAGCTAGCTCAGGGGAAAGGCCTCAGCCTCACGTTATTAGATTTCCGGTCATTCCAGCTCTCTGAACTTTAGTTGTGTCCTGTGTGTTTTGATGTTAATCATGGATTTATTTGGGCAAAGAGGGCAAGCTGTGGTTATTGACTGCACTAACAGACCATTCAAGCAGTTTCTGCTTCTTTTTTTATCAGTAAGTAAAATAATATTTATGTACTTTATTTCGCTGATTGAATGGGGGAAATGCTGTTTGCTCAAAGATGGGTTGATATATGACAAAATATAACGGAAACCACCAAAAAGTTCCCAAGTGCAGCCGTGTCTGTAGCTCACTGCTCCCCACGGGGATGGGGAATTTCATTAAATTATCCCAAAATGTCCAGGAAGAGAAAGACTGGTGCAGAAGGAAGGGTGTTTCAACAAAGAAAGAACACGCGAATGCTTCAAGGAGAAAAACCAGTATGTCTTCACAGTCATTAGCGTCCATGCTACTAGCATCAGCGTCTGCAGCGATAGCTCCTCTGTCTCAGACAAACTGAGAACACTCCTCTTACTCAGCAATTTGCCGACTTTGAAGCCCAGAAAAGGATTTTAACCACTCAGTAATCTGTTCTCGGCTGACATAGAAAGCGCACCAACCAGCATCCAGAGAGAGATGATTTAACTCCAGTTTAGCGACATGCTCAAGTCAGTATGACTCCCCGACACACCGACACAACTGTGTGGTCCAGCTGCTGAAATGCTCTCCAATGTTCAGCAGCACAAACCTGTGTGAGCGACTGTTGTCTGTGATGAAGATGAACCAACAACACGGGATTCTCATTGATGAACTCCTTCCTCAGCTCAGAGCCTAACCACAGAGGTGCATGCATCTGGTTTGAACAGGTGAGCATCACAGGAAATCAGAGTGGAGCAAACCGAGCTTGAATTATTGTGGTTTTTATGCGCTTTTTCTGCTACAATGTATGAAAGGTAATAGGCGAGATATTGCATTTTCATTTAAGAGAATTACTATTTTTTATTTATGTTGTTGGCCTGTGAAAAATGATTTCACCTTCTTTAAAACAGGAACTGGAAAGATTAGAGATAGAAGAATAGAATAGAATAGAATAGAATAGAATAGAATAGAATAGAATAAAAAAAAACGTTATTGTCCCTCGGTGGGGAAAGCTTAGCGTCACAGCAGCAATGACATTCATTACAGGTGCAAAAATGAGAGTAAAAAAGAAAGAATAAACAAGAAAACATTAAATAGAAATGCTGAAAAGATTCAAAAGATTAAAAATTAAAAGGAAATGCTAAATAAAAACACATTTTAAGGAACAAAACTATTTAAAAAAAATTGAGCCTTAATAAGCAACGGGGGGGCTGCTGCTGCTGTTTGGATTGCTGGCTGTAATGCACATAACACACAAGCTTGCAATATAAAGCAGGACAACACCTGTCCCCCTCCAGCTCGGCTGTGTGACTGCACTAACCTGTCCTGTGGGACCCTCACCATGTGACCCTCATGTCCATGCTGTCTCTGGAGGAGACGATAGGAGACAAGATCTCCTGTAACTTAAAATGAACCAAAGCTTCCTCCCAGTTTCTCTTTAAGCTGAATTTAACATCAGTTTATCTTCATGAAACAAAAGAATAAAGATGAACAAGAATTTCCATCTTCTATTTCTCTCCTTTTAACTTCTCCATGTCCCTAAATATAAGAGACAGATGATCACGTTGCAGCTGCCGTCACTGACCCCGCTCTCTCCCCAAGACAGGACCTCCCGACATCACAGCACTTGGTCTGACTGAGCGCTTCCAGGAGAAACAATAATGACATTATGAAAATAATAACGCGTGTTTGGAGGAGCGTCCTCTGATCCTCTCTCTTGTGTGAGCAGACAATCTCCCTCTCTCTCTCTCTCTATCTCAGTCGCTGATCGAGCGAGCGGAGCGCGCCGCACAGCAACCCACTCAATTAACATAATTCACGGCCCAAATCCAACAGAACCGATCGGGCTGATTCGATTCGGGTTTGGTCTCAGGTTATAACTCCAGCGCTCAGCCCTGCAGTACCACATAAAGGCAGACCAAAGTTTCCTACCCGGTAAATGTGAGAACACCCTGTAGCGTGAGGAAATATGGGTTTCCACTCTGACAGATGTGGATGCTAAGCTGGTGCTGCTGTTAAAATAACAAAACTACATTCCACTATAATTGATTATGGTCTTCTATGATGCAGAATCATTTATGCCCGCATCTCATGCATTGATTATTTGATTATTTTCCTCAGCTCTATCCTACACCTCCCGGTCGGCCGTCGGGGTGGGGGGTGTGCGCGGGGTTTGGGGGCCACAAAGAGAGAGCTCGCAGGCCAGACGTGGCCCGCGGGCCGCCATTTGCGGACCACTGCTGTAAAGGATCATTTTACCACTTACTGGCTCAAGAAAATGATTTCAAAATATGAAAAAGTTGCTAATTGTCCCTTAAATGGTACACTTAAACAAAATGTCACCTTTTTCTTTGAAGGGTTTAAAACCATCATAGTGCCATCCACACGCCAGATTGGAAGATGGCCCCATAAAACCCTGAATAGTTCCATATAGAGCTGACGTTGACGGCTCGATTCTAAAAATTCGTCAATGTCAGATCCGGAAGTCGACGCACCACGCCCACTTGTTGCATCCCCAGGAGTTTGTAAATGGAGGAGGAATCTGCCTGTTTTTCCTCTAGTTCGCCCTCTTCTCCGCCTTCACTAACATCTCCACCAAATACCGAAGACCCGGAACAATGTCCGCCCGCTAAGAGATTCCTTTCCTGTTTTGCCCACCTTCGTCTCCCGGCAACGGACAACAACTTCCGGGGTCAAATGCACTGCTTCATCTCTATCGCAGATGTAGATGTAGCGTTTCTCCCTTCATTAAGGAGCTTCTTTCAGATATTGGGAGAGCTGTTTTGGTGGTAGCAGTCTCTCCTACGTGCTGGTCTGTTTGCTGAGTGTTTTTGGTTCATTTAGGTAACTTGAACTTAACGTTGGTAAAGCTACTGTTAGCATTTTCGCTAACAGCGTCTTGCGTTTGGATAAGCGGTTACGTTTTGGTTTAGAGTTCATCTTCTTTGTGGTGCAGATCTCCCTTTTATTACATTTAGAGTGTTGTGGGTTTTCGGTTTAGTTTAAAATATCACCTTGAGTTTGGTTTAACCACCCAGTTTAGAGTTTGGACCTTAGGAGATCCTTATTTTGGTCCAGAACCCAGTGATCTTTGCCCAGTGGGACATCCCTAGTTATTTGTACTTTTGTTTTAATTTCCCACAGGCAGAATTAGTTTTATTATTCCCAACCTGTGGATGGAAAGATTTAGGTTGTTTTTTTTTTGTAAATAAACCTGATCATCATTTTAACTTTTAAATCCCGTGTTATTGTCCCTTCCTTTTGCACACGAGCCAAACTCCCCAGGAAGGATCGTAACAACACTCGCCTCATGCACATAAGTGACCAAAACAAAGCAGCATGGAGACACTCCGTCTCCAACCACCTCTCAGGCAGCAGCCTGCACTCCCAAGTTCTATATGTCACCAGAACATAACCAACCACAACACAATAAAAGCTGTGTTATACAAAATAGAAGGTCTGTAGTGTTTATTCTCTTACAGTAACAATTTATCAATTTTTTGGAGGAATTTATTTGAGATTTTTTGGTTTTTATTAATTGTGCAATAGAAAAATAATCGCTAGATTAATCATCTAAATAGTCATTAGAATAGTCGACTATTCGATAAAATAATCGTCAGAATAATCGTTTTAAAAATAATTGTTTACCCCCAGCCCTAGTTCCATATTCTCACCTCTTTCACTGTTGCATCATCAAAGAAGACCCATTTGGAGGATTTGGTGTGGAAGGCAAAGGCACAGTAGTGTTGGCTGGTGTAGCAGATCATCCCCACAAGCAGAAGCTCAGTCTTCTTGGCGCGCTCGTCCGTCACCCTATAGAACAGCTGCATCCACAAACAGGTAAAAAGGAAAGTTGGATCTCAACAGGATGGCATTTTTAATTCATTATAACTGGCCAATGGATGTATAGCACAAAACCCAATAGGTGAGAGGTAGAGTCTGTGAGCATTTTGGATAAAATCTGATTAAACTAAATAGTTCACACTGTAGCTTAGCAACAACGAGGCTGAGAAAATCAACAGATTCCACATATAAACTTTTCAGATGATCACCAGAAAAGAAACAAATACATTTTCTCTCTGGTGAACATGATCCAAACATCACAAGGGAATGGACTCACTATTCTCTCTAACTCAGTCCCATGAAGAATGACACCATTTCTGCTTTTGAAGGTCAAATTTATGATTCTTGTGGCACTTCTACCTGCTAATACCACTCATTTACAAGACCTTATAATTTATTTATACATTTTGAATTTTTCAAAAAGGAGAAAGCAACTAAACTGCATTAATACAGGTGCTAGTCATATAATTGGAATACCGTGACAAAGATTATTTATTTCAGTAATTTCATTCAAAAAGTAAGGTTTTTATATTAGATTAATTCATTACACACAGACTGATATATTTCAAATGTTTATTTCTTCAAATCTGATGATCATAACTGACAGCTAATGAAAATCGTGAATTCAGTATCTCAGAATATCAATTAAGACCAATGTAAAAAAGGGCAAGACACAAAAGGAAGTGTTTTCTTTACAAGAGAGAGCCTCAGAAGGATTTTCATTAGTTTTCAGTTATAAACATCAACATAAATCTAATATACAAATTTGACTTTTTGAATGGAATTAATGAAATAAATCAACTTTGTTATGATATTCTAATTTTCTGTCTAGCACCTGTAGATATACACCTCAGCACAACAAGCTGTCCTATCTACACACATGCTTCCTTAGGAGTGGGATTGGGAAGGGGGGGGGGATTCTCTTCGACTTTAATGCCCAATAAAGTCCTATGCAATGCTCCCAAATGAATAAAGGCTTTTCTTTGTGTCAGACTGATGCAAGTGTGGGTTCTGATGGCATGCTTTGGAAACGCTCTAGAGGGAGCTGTCAAGTACACAGTTAGGATCGTTACATAACACGTGGCTCGCGTCCTGATCTGAACTACACTGACTGACTTTTCTTTGTTGCTTGTAAAATTCACCAACACAGCAAACTGATGTGAACAGGCTGCTGGTGGATACATATTTAATGAAACGCGCCACATTACAGCTTCTGTTTCAGGAGAATTGTGCGGGATGATTAATTGTTTTAGGAGATGCTAAATAAACCAGCCAACATTTTTTTCCCTTTCTCAATAAACTCTGTTCACTTCAGAGGATTCACACACACACACACACACACACACACACACACACACACACACACACACACACACACACACACACACACACACACACACACACACACACACACACACAAAGACGAAGGGAGGGGTTTACTGCTGAGCCGACCGAGGCCAGCCGGGGCTTTTTGATCACTGGCATGGGTCGGCGGGGCATTGGGCGTTAACTGCTTATGCAACAGCACCGACTTACAGAGAGAAATAAATCCCCTTTTTATTTCCCACATATGTCCGACTGCACCAAAATAACCCAGAGGAGGGGACAGTAGCTTTAAGAAGCAGTTGTATAAAGTCCACTAAATGAATACACTGACGATTTTAATCAAGCCTTATGCTCTGAGCCTTTTTTCTTTTTTAATTTAGCTGGAGGCCAAATTAAATGTAAGCGATCAGGTCGGCGTGGGCTTACCGCGGAGAGGCTGAGATGAGGCCCCAGAGAGCGGATCACATCCTCAGTGTGATCCGACTGATCCGAGTCCCAAACAAAGCCGATGGTAACGATTTCTGGGCAGTTCATGAGGACTTGTCTGATCCTAATCTTCTGACCGCAGTTGCTCTGAAAGATAAAAGGCATAAACATGAAACGAGAGCATGAGTGATCGCATTAATCGAACTTCAGCTGAGCGCTGAACAAGCTGGGTATTTTGCAAATAAGTAAAGAACAAAAGAAACACCAAAGAAACCTGCTTACTGGACAGTTTCGAAGGTCTCCGATTGTACTTGCCACTTGTAACACTTCTCCAAAGGAGTCTTCCCGCCGCTGATTTGTCTGTTCACTAAAAAGATGGAGGGGTGATTACTGATTAGCACCAGTTGGCCACAAAGTCTGAGCTCTGACCTTGTGATAACAAAAAAAGGAACACTGAAAGAGATATGTACGTAGGATGAGAGTAACAACGGTTAGCTCCTTACCAAAGGGCAGTGATGGAGATGTAATGTACCAGTTCTGTAAATGGCAGCGGGTCAGAGGAAGCCCCACAGCTACGGCACACAGACTGTAAAGGAGAGTGAATAAAATAGTGATTTATCTTAATCTTCGACCTGCAGCGAGCTTCGTCAGCCCTTGATAATATTTCCTAAACTGGGTGTTCCGAACTTGAAGCGGAACAAAATCTGAGAACTTTGCCCCATAAAGGCTTTATCTGTTTGATTCACAGATTGTCCCGTTTCAGGACAGGAACGTGGTCGGTGCCACCAGGCAGGGAGGTTTACGTGTGGCTGGAATTTCTGTTTTCACTGGTCTGAATGACCCAGACCTTTTTGTAATCATTTGGAGTTGCTAATCCTGATAATGTTTAGAGATAATGTTTATTTTTTAAATGTTTTCATTTCTTAAGTATATAGCTCAGACCATTTTATGTGTGTTTCTGTGGAAAGGTTATAACAGGTATCATCTTCGCCTTTGCAGGTGGCTCTCAGAACTACCTCAGCTCAGTGAAACAAAGATTAGTCCTATTGAGACCTAGGGGCTAACGCCTAGTGTAAGAAGAGCTAAAGTGAATTATTTTCATTCTAAAACAATTCGAATCTCAAAAATGGTATTTAGTTAATCTATAGATAGAAAAAAATGTTGTTTTATTTTAAATAAGAGTTCTATGAGCCCATGGAACTTTGTCAGGGGTCACAAGGGCTCAGGAAAATCTTCTGAAAGTTCAGACCAAAAAAATTATACCAGAACATACAGATGTATTTATAAGGTGCATTTACAAACAGCATGTGAGCTGACCAAAGCGCTACACAGACAACAACACTTATATAAAAACCCAACAAAACAGATAAAAACTGTCAACATAGGCTACTAAAATAACAATTAAAAACATTTAAAAAAATGAAAAGTTTAAAAATACACATAAAAAGGAAGTCATGGTCCAAAAGCCAAGTCATAAAAGTGAGTCTTCAGTCGTGCCTTGGAGACTGCCGTGGATGATGTTTAGCCTAAAGCCTGGTTCATGCTTCTCCGTCAGCTCCGCAAGGGACAGACACGCACGGATTGACGGAAGCGTTTTGCTCTCGTACTTCTCCGTCTCCTGGGGAGTGTTGCAAAGCAATTGCAGGACAACAGAGGGCGTAGCGCTGTTCTGTGGTATCCTGTCATGTATCGGTCCAAGATAGTGTGTTTATATTGTGTTTTTTGTATATAAGAGACTTTTTAACACGGACGTATTTGTCTCTCATCCTCCTCCACCTCTTCATGCGCTCGCCACCTCTAAACCCACGTTTCCTGTCATTTCCGTCCACAAATAAAACGCTTGCTGTGCATCTTTTCACTCCTCCAGTCACGGGGGAATTAAACGTTCATGTTTTTAGAGTTTTTTCGCGAGGTATTCTTCAAGCTTCTCCGTGTCTGACGCTAGTTTTCCTCGGCTCTCTTTGCAATGGCAGCGCTGTGGACAACAGCGGCGTCCTGACCAATCACAAGCTTGCGTTGTCCGTCTCAACTGACGGATGTTTAGAAAAGATAGCTCGACTCCGTCCGACCTTGCGGAGCTCTCCGGCAGGCCCGCAAGGTCGTTGCGTGTCTCCGCACTGACGCAGACGGAGAAGCATGAATCAGGCTTAACAGAGATGCATCCCAAAGGGCAGCATGCACAAAGGCCCGTGTGTTGTAGTTCATTTTGGGAATACATAGCATCAAGCGGTCAGCTGACCTAAGAGCTCGGAACAGCTCGTGTGGTGTGATGAGGTCGCACAGATAAGACGGTGCAATATTAACCCTTTGATGCATAATAGTCACTACAGTGGACAGGTACTCAAAATAGTTATTTACTTGTTTTTGCTATTAAGCACAGCTGTTGAAGACTTTATTGCATTTGAGCCCCTCCATTTTGACTTCAGTAAGCCAAACCAACATATTTCATGCTCAGAATGCACGCTGTCCACCAAGGTAGACATGTAATAAATTATTTGTAAATTATAAAATTTAACAAAAAATATTTTTTGAAATTTGTTTCATTCACACCTAAATATGAATGAGAAAAATTGTTAAAAAAAAATCATGGTTGAAGATTTCATAATTCAAGCATCAAAGGGTTAATGGGGACTACTTCAAAACACTAAAACAAAATCTGGATCCTTTAGGGATATTTTTAAATGATAAATAAGAGAATAGAGAACTGTATGAGGTACTGCTGCAGCAGCAATGTGGAATCTGACAAGAAACACCCTCTGTAATCCACAGGGGGTGACCCCCAACAAAACATGATGGATTGGACATCTATTATCTCAGGCACTGATTCATGTACCCATCTGTGTGTGGGTGTGTAGGACACTAAATCCTAACTCTGACTAAGAGTGTGTTCAAGCAGTCCAGAGGCAGTGCAAACCCAGACACCAAGCAGAAAAGGACACAATTCATCTCAAAACCTCCTGCTGAAACAGATGAATCGTTGCACGATGTTCTAAATAACTAGATCCTTCAGGGATGTTTTAAACCTTTGACTGACCTGCTCATAAAGTGCCATAGCAAACTTCTGATGAGTGATGCAGGACTGTGACGTACAGGCATCGGTCTCCTCAGACACAATATGTAAGTGGATCCTCTCCAGAATGTTTTCCTGTCAAAGAAAAAAGAGGAATATGTTTTATCTCTAACTCAACAGCAAGTATTTCAATGAGTTGAGCAGAATGGCCGCTGTCCTCCATGTACCTGTAAGAACTCTGAAGTTTATAATATTGCTCTCCAGTAAAACTCTACATTTTTTCAAAGCCCAACAATCCATCTTTTTTTTCTGCCTATCGAGATCGTTTTTCCCATGTCAATAAATTTGATAATGAACAGAAATAAAAATGTGTGTGTAGGTTGGAGACGTTATAAGTAATACGTAATAAGAGCATGAAGGTTAAATAGTGTTAAAAAGACACAAACAAACATTCACTTCTACGCATTTCTTGGAATAAAACGAGCTAAAAACAGGGTGCAGACATTTGAGGGCTGGGTCTTTAGTTAAATTAACAGTTGTGTGCACTTGAGCATGTGGTCACAAACTATGTATGAAGAGAATGGTGATTTAGCAGCAGGATTATTTGCGTAATTCACAAAAATACTGAATTCTATGGCCACTAAATAATCCAACATCAAAGCTAGCAGATGCAAAAGTGAAGGGAACCAACCAGTGTTTACTGAACTGAGCGTAGACATTTGCAACACAGTCAATTATGATTTTGCACAAGGAATGAAGGAACATTCACTTGGCTATTTCTAATTACTGGAAGTGTAGCTTGCAATGGATTACTCTGCCTCCCACACAGAAAACTACAGCAAACCATCATCCAATCTGAAAAATTTCCCAGAGGGCTCAGTGTTAATAAGATACAAATAGGAAATTGACAAATGAATAAATCTTACTTGTTGACTTTGCTAAATTTGTCATTCAGGACCATTTTCGGTTTTGTAAAGAAAATCTTTAACAAGCACAGCTTCATTAGGATGTTTTTTTAAATCTAAAATGAGATGAGCTTTCTAGAAGGAAAGAACAAAAAGGATGGCAAGATGGATATCTGCTGATTTGTACCATCAGCAAGCTGTGAGCAAAATGTTCAGAGATGTTCAGTTTGGTTCATTCACTGCTGTATTGTAGCTTGCAATAAAATAGTGATTGTTATGCTTTTACTTCTAATATTTTTCCAAATGTCCTATCAGAATGTGCTTCATTTAAAAAATATAAGACATTTATCACCAAATGAAAGCTAGGTATCAAAGTGTGACCAGTTCAATACAAGTTAACTTTGCTTCAACAATTATATATTTGCACAACAGTTTTCTGTTTTATAAACCATTAATGTAGTAGTTATAGCACGTGTTGCTCTTTATTTCAAGGGACAATGAACCAAAGTCTGGGAGTACCCACTGTGTTAGGCCAGTGGTTTGCAAAGTCTGGGTTGGGACCCTACCAACAAAACGCTATATTGAGAAGTCTTTATTAAAATCTACAGAAAACAAGTTACCTTATCGTGGTGGAGGAGTTTGAGTGCCCTAATGATCCTAGGAGCTATGTTGTCTGGGGCACTTAGTGCCCCTGGTAGGGTCTCCCATGACAAATTGGTCTCAGGTGAAGGGTGAGACAAAGAACGGTTCGAAGGATCTTTCATGGCGGTTAAAACGAAGAGTCGGAGTACCCGGCCCGGAGGGTTACCGGGGTCCCACCCTGGAGCCAGGCCTGGGGTTGGGGCCCGTGAGCGAGCGCCTGGTGGCCGGGCTTTCACCCATGGGGCCCGGCCGGGCCCAGCCCGAACCGGATACATGGGCTCGTCCAACTGTGGACCCACCACCCGCAGGAGGAACATGAAGGGTCCGGTGCAATGCGAATCGGGTGGCAGACCAAGGCGGGAGCCTTGGCGGTCCAATCCCCGGACAAGAAAACTAGTTTTTGGGACATGGAACGTCACCTCGCTGGCGGGGAAGGAGCCGGAGCTTGTGGCAGAGGTTGAGCGGTACCGGCTAGATATAGTCGGACTCACCTCGACACATTGCATTGGCTCTGGAATCCGAGACCTGGAGAGGGGTTGGACACTCTACTTTGCTGGAGTTGCTCCGGGTGAGAGGCGGAGGGCTGGGGTTGGCTTTTTGTTAGCCCCGAGACTCTCTGCCTGTGTGTTGGGGTTTACCCCGGGGGACAAGAGGGTAGCTTCCTTGCACTTTCGGGTCGGGGAACGGGTCCTGACTGTTGTTTGTGCTTATGGGCCAAATATCAGTTCAGAGTACCCACCCTTTTTGGAGTCCCTGGGACGAGTGCTAGATAGTGCTCCATCAGGGGACTCCATTGTCCTGCTGGGGGACTTCAATGCTCACGTGGGCAATGACAGCTTGACCTGGAGGGGTGTGATTGGGAGGAACGGCCCACCTAATCTGAACTCGAGCGGTGTTTTGTTATTGGACTTCTGTGCAAGCCGCAGTTTGGCCATAACGAACACCATGTTCGAACATAAGGATGCCCACCGGTACACTTGGTACCAGGGCAGCCTAGGTCACAGGTCGATGATAGATTTTGTAGTCGTATCATCTGACCTGCGGCCGTATGTTTTGGACACCCGAGTGAAGAGAGGGGCGGAGCTGTCAACTGATCACCACCTGGTGGTGAGTTGGATCAGATGGCAAGGGAACATGCCGCGTAGACCTGGCAGACCCAAACGCATAGTGAGGGTCTGCTGGGAACGCCTGGCAGAAGAACCTGTCAAGACGGTCTTCAACTCCCACCTCCGGCAGAGCTTTGACCACGTCCCGAGAGCAGTGGGGGACATTGAGTCCGAGTGGGCCTTGTTCCACTCTGCGATTGTCGAGGCGGCTGTTGCTAGCTGTGGTCATAAGGTGGCCGGTGCCAGTCGTGGTGGCAACCCCCGTACCCGCTGGTGGAAACCAGAGGTTCGGGGAGCCGTCAGGCTGAAGAAGGAGGCCTACAGGGCGTGGCTGGTCTGTGGGTCTCCGGAGGCAGCAGACAGGTACCGGATAGCCAAGCGGGGTGCAGCAGTGGCAGTTGCCGAGGCAAAATCTCGGGCGTGGGAGGAGTTTGGGGAGGCCATGGAGAAAGACTATCGATCGGCTCCAAAGAGGTTCTGGCAAACTGTCCGGCGCCTCAGGAGAGGAAGGCAGCAACTCGCTCACACTGTTTACAGTGGGGATGGGGAGCTGCTGACGTCAACTGAGGCTATAGTCGGACGGTGGAAGGAATACTTTGAGGAGCTCCTCAATCCCACCAATGCGCATTCCGAGGAGGAACCAGAGCTGGGAGGCCTGGGGATGGACTGTCCGATCTCGGGGGCAAAAGTTGCTGAGGTAGTCAAACAACTACACAGCGGCGGAGCCCCGGGGGCGGATGAGGTTCGTCCTGGGTATCTCAAGGCTATGGATGTTGTAGGGCTGTCATGGTTGACACGTCTCTACAACATTGCGTGGTCATCGGGGGCAGTTCCTAGGGAGTGGCAGACCGGGGTGGTGGTCCCCATCTTTAAGAAGGGTGACCTGAGGGTGTGTTCCAACTATAGGGGGATCACACTCCTCAGCCTCCCTGGAAAGGTCTACGCCAAGGTACTGGAGAGGAGGGTCCGATCGATAGTTGAATCTCAGATAGAGGAGGAGCAATGTGGTTTTCGTCCTGGCCGTGGAACTGTGGACCAGCTCTATACCCTTGCAAGGGTGATGGAGGGGGCATGGGAGTTTGCCCAACCAATCCACATGTGCTTTGTGGATTTGGAGAAGGCTTATGACCGTGTCCCCAGGGGCACCCTGTGGGGGACGCTCCAGGAGTATGGGGTGGGTGGCTTTCTGTTAAGGGCCATTCAGTCCCTTTACCAGAGGAGCGTGAGTTTGGTCCGCATAGCCGGTAGTAAGTCGGACCTGTTCCCAGTGAGGGTTGGACTCCGCCAGGGCTGCCCTTTGTCACCGGTTCTGTTCATCACTTTTATGGACAGAATTTCTAGACGCAGCCGTGGTGTGGAGTGTGTCGAGTTTGGTGGCAGGAGAATCTCGTCTCTGCTTTTTGCGGATGATGTGGTCCTCCTAGCTTCATCCAGCTCTGACCTTCAGCTCTTGCTGGGTAGGTTCGCGGCCGAATGTGAAGCGGCTGGGATGAGGATCAGCACCTCCAAATCTGAGACCATGGTTCTCGACCGGAAAAGGGTGGCTTGCCACCTCCGGGTCGGGGGAGAGGTCCTACCTCAAGTGGAGGAGTTTAAGTATCTCGGGGTCTTGTTCACGAGTGAGGGTAGGAGGGATCGGGAGATCGACAGGCGGATTGGTTCGGCGTCTGCAGTGATGCGGACGCTGAGCCGATCTGTCGTGGGGAAGAGGGAGCTGAGCCAGAAAGCCAGGCTCTCGATTTACCGGTCGATCTACGTCCCAATCCTCACCTATGGTCATGAGCTTTGGGTAATGACCGAAAGAACGAGATCGCGGATACAAGCGGCCGAAATGAGTTTCCTCCGTAGGGTGGCCGGGCTCAGCCTTAGAGATAGGGTGAGGAGCTCGGACATTCGGGAGGGACTCGGAGTAGAACCGCTGCTCCTCCGGATCGAAAGGAGCCAGTTGAGGTGGTTTGGGCATCTGGTCAGGATGCCTCCTGGACGCCTCCCCGGGGAGGTGTTTCGGGCATGTCCTGCCGGCAGAAGGCCCCCGGGTCGACCCAGGACACGTTGGAGAGGTTACATCTCCAATCTGGTCCGGGAACGCCTTGGGGTCCTGCCGGAGGAGCTGGTGGACAAGGCCGGGGAGAGGACGGCCTGGAGCTCCCTAATTGGGATGCTGCCCCCGCGACCCGGACCCGGATAAGCGGAGGAAGATGAAGACGAAGAGACGAAGAAAACAAGTTAGAAATTAACCGTTGATAGAATACTTTCACTATAATTTATACAAATGACAAATAAGATAGATAATAGGGCTGCACAATACATTGCAAATGCATTGTCGTCGCGATATCAGAATGCACAATACATATATCGCAAAGAACAGAAAAAACTACAATAAATGGCCAGCTCAAATGTTTGCTACACATAATGCATTCTGTCAAACGGAAGCATTACGTTTTTGGCTAATCAAATAGAGCTCTTCACCCATTTGGCCAAT